ATGTTTTCCGTCCCGTTTTTGCTCATTTCTCGGAGGCAAAATGAGCAAGAACGCTCATTTGTACGTCATTCTAGAGAGAAGTAAATGGCCTTTTTTAGCAAGGAAATTTTTCGATAAGGAAATGTTGGCAGTTTCCTCAAAAAATGCTTGAATTCAAGAAGTAACAATTCTTATACTAATCAGATACAGATTTTGGAGCGTTTCGGTGTTCTATATTTTCAAGCTTTCTTTCTTAAAGTCTTCACTTCACCGACGAGATAAATATAAGCCCGGAAATACAAATAATCTTAACATCGAAAAAGAGAACTTCTTGAAAAGTTGGGTTGCAACTATTTAGAATGCATTGAAACCAAAAATACCAAACAGGAAATTGTCAAAAAAGCTGTACTTTCAGTCTTGAATTGTGTAGGAAAAATTGCGCAACAGCTGAAAAATATTGATACAAACTATTCCAAATAGCAAAATTGCGTAAAAACCGAACGCAATTAAAAAGAAAATTGCATTTTCTTCCAGAATTGTCGACTTAGCAAAAGAATTTTCGTTTGGCACCCGATTAACAGGGGCAGGTTGGGGCGGTTGCACCGTTTCCCTAGTGGCGCCTCAAAACGTCGAAAAAATGAGAAACGCCCTCATCCAGAACTTCTACAAGCCTCTAGGAGTGACCGATGGTTTTGAGTCCATCGTCTTCACCACTGCCCCCAAAGCAGGCGCTTGTATCTATACAAACTCGGTGTGAAAATGTTAAATATGTGAATAAAACCGGGCCAGCAAACTTTCGAAAGTTTTGTTAACCGAAGCGATGGGTCGTGCTTAATCACCTCGATTTAATTCCCGCATTACGAGAGGAAAATCTTCCACTCAGCAAAGTTTTTCTATAAAAAAAGCCATTTGGCTGATGAACCACCTGAAGATGGCTTTGGCGCCTCCCTTTTGCCGGGTGTTATCCTATAAAGGGAAATGTGGACGCTTCAGTCTTACGGCAGCGCTCGAAATAGCTACATCAGCTACTGTTTAGCAATCGGAAGTATTTGCCGAGTTTTACATAACTAAAGTGATTTTTGTGAACAATTTAATATAAGAATGCTTAACTGAACATGACCATTCTACACTCATGCTGTTGCTGGAAGTCTGTAAGACCGGGAAGCATTGCTTGTGGAGTTTATACAGGAGTATGTTGCAGCTTTTATTAAATTTCTACAAAATTCATGGCTTTTGGGGGCGTTTTAGATCTACTATACAGTGAATGCAGTTCAGTCAGCTTATCTTCTCCATGAGGAGATTCGCTTTATCAGCAACAGGTCCAAGTCTTCTTTGGTTGACCACGATTTGACCAGCGGGAGTAAGTGGACAAGTTTAATTAATTAATTTCTGCACTTTTATGAAAGATCGCAGCTACTTTTGCAAGGTAGGTAGTTGATTATAGTCTCTTCCAGCATCTACCGTGTTTTCAGCCCTAATTTTTGCCCTTTCCTCAACCGGAGTCGTCAGTACAGTTTTTCTATTTTATGGAATATTCAGGGTAAGTCAAATTGATCGAATTAACTACCCACAGTGGTTCTTATCTGGTTTTAGGACTTAAAATGCCTGCTGCTCCCATGGATTTGCAATATGACTGTCTTCACTATAGTGGATGTTTTCTACATTATTCACGGACTGCTCATACATGCGGTAAGTGGGGGTTTGAAACGAAACAAACATAAAAATAATTAAAAAAGCACAACAATATTTTTTTAGCTTCAATGGAATCCTTCGGTTGCCATTCTCATAACAATCGATTTCTTCCTCAATGCGTTGAACGTAAGTGATTGGTTTATTTACGGTTTAAAAATAAAACAATATCCAGCTTTCAATATACAAGAGGATGGAAAATTGGCGGTTTTGAAAACAATACATAATCGAATGCTAGTAAAAAATTTCATTTGATATAAAGTTGCACCGCGTCCTGTTTGTGTCTTTTAGCAAAAGCGCTCAATTTTTAATCAAAGAATCGGTCTTTTTGTATTGAAGTGTGTAATTTTTGGTCTTTTGAAGGCACTTTTAATCGTCTTTTACAGCTTTACGCGATATTGTGTGTTATCTCGCAATATCAAGAGTATAAAGCCGGACGAGGAAAACATCTAACTAACTCACACCTGGTAGGTGTTGCCGCCCACTTACCAGCAAAATCACCCTTAACACTTTTTTCCAGAGCTCTAGCCATCAGCAAGTGGGCGCCAGTGGCTTGACCGTACGCAAACCGGCAATTTTTCTGGACAGAAAATGCAAAGCAACCGGAAATCCAGCGGGAAAACCGAAAAAAACCGTGAAATTCGGAGATGGTTCCAATAAAAGCACTCTTATGGTTCCGCCCCTATGGGACGAACCGAAACTGGCATCGAACGGGTTTGATACCGCGCCATTGATCGACACGAATCACACAAATGTGCATGTAGGAGTAGGAAAAAACACTTTTAAGTAAAATAAAGCAACGCTTTATGGAATAAATTGCATTATTTTATTTTATAACGGATGTTGAGTAACTTTCCAACTAAAAATTCAACAACAATAACAAAACCAAAGTCAAAACATAGTAATACTTTTTGTATAGGAATTACTGAAGTCTGGTTCAATTTGAAAATATTTACATACATAATAAGGGAGATACATACAACTTGCTAAGAACTGATTTAGCGCATATTTTTTTCACACTAGAAATACTTGAAGCCTTGAAACTAGCCCGCAAAGACCTGTAACCATTGCACATCTGTTCCAAGAGCTTCCTACAATAATTTGCTTCCAAAATAAAGCAATTTAATCGGTGAATTTGCGGTTGACGTTGCGTCCGAACAAAGCGTTACGAATCTGTGGAATGAGCTGTTGGGAAATGAGCTCCAGACGGGCCTCCAAAGTGTTGCTGATCTTGATTTTGTTTTGACGAGTGTACAGGTCGATTCCTCCAGTGATGTCTTGGGAAAGCTGGACGGCATCATCAAGGGTTACGTTGACGTCGCGCCCAGTAACATCCCGATATTTAGTAGCCACTGTTGGCAAAACCGTTTTCACCAAGTCCCTGTCTTGTGGTCTCGTTCGAACAATTACGTTGTTTTCAAACAGCTGAGATAAAATTTTCAATTCAAGAATCATTCAGTTGGGGCACATTGAAAACGAATCACAATGAATCACTCAAACGCATTTTTGAGGCCAAATGTGATGAATATTAAGCGCATTTGTACTTTGGCGCAAACGAACTGATTTTGGAATAATTTCAAACCTCCAGACTTTCAAGAGGAACGAAATTGCACATATTAGGAACAGTGAACACACATAATACGACACTTACTTGGTAGAGTGCTTGCAAAATCAAAGACTCAGCAATTTGGGCGTAACGTCCCTGATCTCTGGTGACTTCACCCAGCCTCTTACGAGCATCCTCCAGTACAGACCGCACATGATCTTCCCGTACTTTGAGAACCTTCAAACGGGCCTGGTTCAACATGTTTGAAGATTGACTGTAATGTGAAAAGAAAACTTGTGAGATTTTGCGTTCACTAGTTTTGTCTTTATATCTAACATGAAATAAAGTTTATTTCGCTTCCTTCCTATTCATGTTCTAAATCGTTTGGATTCTATTAAGTTGACTGAAAAAACTTCAAGTGCACTTAATTTATTTGGGACTGCGATCTATATTCTACTGTTTTTATGTGAAAAACCAACGGTTTCTCCCGATTGTTAAAAAGTATATATACAAAAATACTAGCAATTAAGAAACATGACGAACATAAATCCTTTGCTTAAACCCCAAAATTTAAATTGTTGCAAAACTTCACGGAAAAGGTTGGTTAAAAGCCCCATAACAAGCAAACCATGTCCCGTAAACTGTTTAAAAAGCTGTTTGAACCACAATACTCTGAACTCGAACTAACAATTACTTTCATAGCTTTAAACTACTCAACCCCGACTAATCTAATATTAACGTCCTCAGGAGGAAATCAATGGTATTCCAGAAACTAACATGAATTAACTCATTGATGAGACCCTCCTTAAAACCAAGTCAAATGCGAATCACATGACCAGCATGAGATGTTGCCTATTACATAGTCACCAAAAGGGTCCTGAAAACTTACATTTTCTTCTGTAATTCGACTTGTTTCTCCTTCTTCTCGTAGTATTCCATGATCTTCAGCCTTTGCTGCTGGACCAAACGGCCCTTCTCAATATTGAACTCTTCCTCAGCCTTGGCATCGATTTCTTCAGCCTTCTCGTTGGCCTCTTGTTCGATGAAAGCCATCATGTGCTTGATCTAGAAGAAAATCAGCCATAGTAGAGCTCAATTGAATAATTGGGGATGTTTTACATGATCTGAATAGGTCTTGGTTAACTTGTAAGCGATTTTTAGCAATGTTATGGAGGTTTTTACCTGTTTTTGAACGTCCGCGTCGCTGAGAGCCATGGCTGTGGTTTTCTTAGAGTTTTGGGGAGAAACTTAAGAATACTGATCAGGTTTAGAGAATCAGTTGACTACGCCTTTAACAGGAGGAAAAACAGATTCGACTGAGTTGTAGATTGATCATATGATGGGAGCAGGTGACATTTGGCTGTCATGTGACCACCATTTTATCAGATACAGAGGGCGGACTGGGCGGAGGACATTCATTAATTAAAATTTACAATTAAAATTCTTCAATACTCCTATTGCGTTTCTTCAGTTACGTATCGGGAAAAAATGCAAAATTTTCTGCTTTCTCTAACGCAAAGTGTGAAGTACAATATAAGGCTAAGAATTTAGGTAATTTTCTGATATGGACTACGTCCAAAAATAAGAAGGTTGTACGGGCACCGCCGGCAACACTGCTTCAAAACAGTAACTGCCAGCGGTGTCAAGCCGATCAATCAACCTCCATTTTCATTGCCATTTATAAACAAGATAAATTCATGAAAAGTGAGTATTAATAGATCAAACTCCCTTTGTATATAGTGCATGTGATCGTCTATATATTTACTTAAGTGAACACATTGAACTTTACATATTAAAAACCGGGATATTTTCAGTAAGCCCGTTAAGGCCACACTTGCCTCTAGCATGGAGTTTCCAACAAGTTTTTAACATTTTTGCGCCGAAAATGCGAATTCCGCGAACATCCCGAATAAATTAGGCCACCGGACGCCCGCTAGTTCTAATTGAGGATATTAGGTAAGTGATTTTCCATTCCGAATCGCGCATTTTAAATTGGGCTTTAATTGCTCGATTAATTAGGAGGTTCGTTCAATTCACTGCACAATAAGCCTTTGAAAGGCCTGTAGTTTACATGTGGAAGTTTCGTGAGTGAGCCATTTTGTCTTTTGAACCAGATTAATCTCCACTGAAGGCTGCAATGGATTTAGCTGAGACCATGAAGAACGTTCTGGCCAAAGGCTTGCAACAGGCCTCGGCCAGCGACCTTCCAGTGGGCGGAATGGGGTTTCCAGGGCCTGGATATGTTACGGAGAAGCTCTACATGCTTTTGCAGCTCTATTTGCAAAATAAAGGCTGGAACCCTTCTGTCGAGCTTCTTCAGTGCTTTACAGAGCTAAAGGAGTCGTCGATGTTGCCCAGTGCTACCTACTTACAGTAAGTCACATGCTAATGGCTTAGTTATCCTTTGAATCCATTACCCAATTAACGTTTGATAGGGATATTAATTTCCTTGTGGTGTTTTGCGTCTTTAGGATGATGACGTCGCGCGTTACTCTGGATTCGCAAGGCCGACTGATTTTGCGAGAAAATGGCAAAATTATCCTCCCATTTGAGCATTTTGCAAACGCTGTAATGCTGAAGCATATGAACGGGCCGCACGGGCTGCATTTGGGCATCGAAGCCACTGTGAGGGCTGTGATGGAGTCCTACACCATAGGTAACCACTTGAATATCCAGGAAACAACAATTATAACAGGGCATTGTTAGGTCGCGAAAATTTCGGCATGGAAAAGGAGTTTATCATCGAAGTCGTGCAAAACTGCCCAAACCCCGCCTGCAGATACTACAAGAATCAAATGGAGTTAACGCAGAAAACGCTGCAACATCTAGCACCTGGATATTTGGGCGAGCGAAGCTCATCGGGGAGCGAAATTCGAGGACGTGAGTGCTTGAAGTTGCCCAAAAAACCTGCTTACTGAAAAACTATTTTACTAAATAGAGCGGAAGAGTCAAAAGGAACATTTTCCCGGCCTGGGAGCAGTGGATCTGAGTGGGCAACAGGCGCTGGATCCGAAAACGCAATCACTAATGGAGCGCCCGAAGTCCGTAGCGCCTTCACAGCAGGAAATCACTGCTGCTCTGCTACAGCAGCAGAGCAGAGTGATCGCCCAGCAAAATTTGGATAAAATCAACGCCAACTTGGAGAAGCAAAGACAACAGGTGCTGAAACCCTCTAGTGAAAACCGCCGCGAAACTAACAGTGTTTCGATTATTGCAGCTTCACCTGCAACAGCAAATGGACTTGGCTGCTAAAAGAGAGCGAGAGCAACAAAAACACCAAGAGCAGCAGCAGCAAAGAGAGCAGGTGCAGCAGGCGGCAGCAGTCCAAGCGCAGCAGCAAAAGCAACACTTCGAGTTACCCTTGATGGATCACAAATTAACCGACTTTCTTCGGGCCAATATTGAAAACTTGGAAGGTAATCCACCGAAAACAACCAAAAAAATTATATAATCGCAGGAAATCTTCCAGGATTGGGCGCTTCAAACAAGGACTTGCTGGCGCTCCACAACGGCGCTTGGGCCACATCCAGCACAGTTAGTCTAGGCGAAGACAAGCGACTTTCTGAAGGAGGGCAGGAGAAAATCGTGCGAGCGTTCAGCGAAGTCATGAAGAATATGCAGAGAATGAAGACTTACGTGCGGCCTGCCATGTGTAAGCCCTACGGAAAACAATCGGAAGCCCTACAGAAAAGTAAGTAATTGCATTTGCTTTACGCTTAAAATTCACTAGCTTCCATTTGCTTGCACAATGAAACAACCATTTTTTTGAAATTACTATGATGATATTCCGAGGGGAGTCCTTGAGAGCCCCACAGTGCGGCTTTCGGATGATGACGCTTGAAGCTTTGATCTTATCTGAACTTTCTATAAAATGTCTAGTTAATCGAGTTGTTTTGCCTGCTGTTGGAATAATAGTTAATTTTATTTTGCAGCTCTGATGGATACGATTCAGCTGATCCAATCGCTGAGGAGCTTCTTGCCTCCTCCTCATATCCAGGTAAGTTCTTGGAAAAACGAGGACAAGCACCGCTATGAGGAGAATTAGATTTTGTTGTTTCCATGTTTTAAAACTTGATTTGAACTGGTTCGCTTGAAAGTCTCATATTTTGGTGTTTAATTCGCCAAATTACGACTACTAAAGCTGCTTTTGCTATTCTTTTTAAACCAGTTGCTTAGATCTAGTTTAAGTCAAACTCTATTTGTTTAATTCAGTGTGGAATGGGAAATTCGGTTCGGCAATTGTTGATGTCGATGATTGTTAGTATTTTCTTCGCTGATTTGCGCGAATTTGTTCTTTTTAGTTCCTTTTTCTCATTGTATATGGCGAGATTCGAAAGTATTTTTATTTGTGATATTTTTTGTACTTAAATTATTTTGAAATTGACCTTTGATCGGGGTTTTGGTGGCCGGTTAGTGGCTAAGTGAAAATATTTGCCGGCTTTTCAGAAATTCGAACCTGTAAACAGAGAAGTATGCGATTTTTTTCTGGGGTTATCGATAAGAGTTTTGAAGAAATCGGCTCAAAACGCAGTAATGAAGGCCGATTAGGTCATTTTTATTGAATGTTTTCATGCACTTGTAAACAGGTGTACGTGAAGTACTAGTATATTGAATATGCTCTCTTTTGACATGTTTTCACCCATGATTTCTGAATTAATATTTCTAGTCGAAAAGCGCAAAAATTTACTGTGATATTTAGGATGATGAGTGGTGGGCCAAATTTTCGTTGAGGCTTGGGGGTAAACGAAAGGGAGGATTTGCTGATTTGATTTTTTTAAATTATTGAGCGGTAACTTTCAGGATATGTTTTTGTTGGATCTATTTATTTATTAGCTTAGAGGAATTTGTTAATTTAAGCTGTCTATAGACTCTTGTGGTAGATGTAATATAGACACTTTCTGTGGGAAACTATCTTGCCAATAAGCCAAATCCAAATAGAAGACTTGGACTCAGTGTTTTGATGTCAGGCATTGGTTTTTAGACGTATTTGTAACGTGATGTAGTCGGATTTAGATTTTGTTATAGAATCTCAAGTGGCAATTTTTTTGTGCAATTTAATTGATAATAAAATGGTATATTCAGGGTTTTACAATTTTGCTCCCTTACCTGATCCTCATCAGTTCTGATTGTATCAATTGCGATAAGTGAAGGAAATCCGAAATTAAGATGAAAAGCGGTCCTCTACATCCGATATCTGAACAAGCGGGATCCATTCCAGGAAAATGTCTTCTCACCTATTCTATTCGATTCGGATCCTCATTGTCTTCGACCCAAGATGGTTAATTTATAAGACGATAACCGCTTCGGTCCGTTTTAGGTAACTAATTATGAGGGGTCCAGGTTACTAGCTGGATCTAATGCACAACATTCATTAATTTAATGAACGACTATCCTTATTACCTTCGTCTGCCAGTCCGTTCGCCCGGTTATTAGATCAGGGTCTTGCGAAGTGGATTAGGGGAAAATTTGCGTCATTTATATGCGATTTGTTCAGTGATATCGTTTTAAAATTTGTTTTTTCAACTCATCGCGAAATCAAAAGAAAATAGACGATCTTGAAAAGTGATTAATCTTCCGAAGTCAGAAATAACAAATGTCCTTGGAATTACCACATCGGACTGCTCGAATAAATTATTTTCATCCCCAAAATGAAGCAAAACAACATGGGAAATCGCCGTTGCCAAAAAAGTAGCTCGAGCATGGAAGCGTCGCGACGCTCTCCTTTCGACGCTCCAAGTGCCAGTGAACGACGGCCGGTCTCCCATGCGTCGCCCTTCGCAAACAGCGCAACTACTAACATAGTAATCAATATTACAGTCTGACAGAAACGAAATTCCAACCTTCTTTTATATAAAATAGTGGTTATTTTTATTAGGGAAACTTCCCCCCTTAGTGTACTTATTGGGAAAAAAATTTATACTGTCGGGGACTGGCGACTTTTTCCTGGTCTTACCAACCGTGTGCCTTTCCAGTGAATTCTAGTGTCTTTTCCTGTAGATTTGTGTGGTTTTATTGTAATTATTTCCATTGAACTCTGTAACAACTCGGGCGCTTGACCCCGGTGTTGTCTTTACGGAGTCAAGATGTGAAAAAAGACAAGACTAACCTGGAAAATCGGAAGTTTGCTGTGATTTTGGACTGCTGCTGATCAGATACACGTCTTACATATTGATAGAGTTCATGAGCTTGCAGTGAAAAAGACCCAACGGCGATGATGACCAGATTAACATCGATTGGCCAGGAGGCTTGAAGATTTAAGGTATGTTTTCGTAGCCCCAATTCCCGTCTTTTACTTTAATTTCTGTTTTTATGCCACTCTTTATTTTCTCCAATTTTTTGTTATTGTTTTATTTTTTTATGTCTATATAAAATAGCGATTTGTGTACGTTCTCAAGCTAGTTTTATTTAACTCGTTTAATAGTAGTGCTGATTGGGAATTCAAAAACAAATTCTTACAAGCACACGTGTACAATTGTAGGAGACAAATTCTGCATTATTTAATCGTCCAATTTAAACTAAAAAAATATATATTTTAATTTACATTGGGTTTTAAACAGCCAATATATTCTTGCGTCCTAAGCACTGGCCAAAACCTTGCCAGTTACGCATCTTCTCTTCACAGGGCGCAATAAAATCATGCCAGGTCACTTTTTTTTGTTTTCCATCTCAGCGTTTTGTAATGTTCCTCCCATTATATCCCAAACATGTTCGTTGGGCGAAAGCTTGGAAGATTCCAGCCCAGCATGCCAATAAATCGTCTTAGGCGTGTTTATAACATTTTTGAGGAAAGGGCTGGTTAGGAATGTAAGGAAAAACTGTCTCCATTGGCCGGCAGGATGTCCCGACCTATCACCTATCGATCAAGGTTGGGACTACATTTAGCCAATCCAATACAACCGCCCACTGTACAATTATGTAAGAATAGGAGTCAATATTGAAACGTTTTGTAGTGTTTTTTTCTGTTTTCGTGGAAGATACGCCTACATGGCACACAAATATGGCGATTTCGCATAAACTGCCGGATTTAGTCCAACATGAAAAGGCTGGAACTAAATCGAAATTTTAATATGAACAGATAAATATAACAGTAAAACAGTCATAGGAAAGCTTAAAAGCCATGCCTAGAATTCGTTCTGTGCTAATATATTATCTATATGGCACTATCAGTCATAAACTTTTGAAGAATTTAATTCGAATTCAAGTCATCACTTTGAAAACTGCATTTTTTTTTCATTTACATTTTTTGTTATTTTTATCTTTGATTTAAACTTTCTTTTTGAAAAGTTGCGATTTTTATTGAGCTAAGCGACAGACATTAAAAAATCATAGTTTTTAAAGCTAAGCTACCAACTGCTAAGAGAGACAGCCAGATGAAAAAATCATAGTTTCACTATTAGGACAAGAAGCGTCTTGAATTTTTTACAGGGTGTTAACAAAACGTCCAGCTTCGTCCTAGCAAAATTTGCATGAGATGCAAAGTTTTTCTGGATTTTCAGAAAAGAGCGAACTTGAGTCGAAAAACTTACGTAACCGCTAAAAGAGACACTGCAACAAAAAACCCACTGTTTCACTATTGGAGTAAGAATTGCCTTGAAGTTTTTACAGGGTGTTAACAAGACATCACTCTACATCCAGACAAATTTTCTCTACAAAGGAAAGTTCTGTTGATTTTTCAGAATAGAGCAAACTTGAGACTGAAAAGCCACTAACTTCTAAGAGAGACACCGCAGATCAAGGAATTCATAGTTTTACTATTAGGACAAGAAGCGACCGAAATTTTTTACAGGGTGTTTGCTAAACATCCACCTCCGTCCAGTCAAAATTTCTATGCAATACAAAGTTTTTCTGATTTTTCAGAATGGAGCGAGCTTTAGTGGAAAAACTTACGTAACCGCTAAAAGAGACACTGCAACAAAAAAAACCCACAGTGACTATTAGAGCAAGAATTTCCTTGAAGTCTTACAGGGTGTTAACAAAACATCACACTACATCCAGGCAAAGTTCCCATGTAATACAATGTGTTTATGATTTTTGAGCCCAAAAAGTTACGAAACCGCTAGGAAGGACGTTGCAATTAAAAATATTCCGTTGCATTATAAGGGCAAGAATCGACAGGCTGTTAACAAAACATTAGACTACATTCAGACAAAATTTACGCGCACTGCAACGTTTTTCTGAATTTTTGAGCCAAAGGTGAAGGGTCCCTATTTTTAGCAAATCTCTTGCCTAGTTCTTTCAAAAACTTCTTTCTGTTGTACATCCGCAATGACTGGCCGAAAACGTCGCATGCTTTATGACCTGTTTCTGCATTTTATGTCTTCTTAATGAGCATACTCTTAAAATTTTATGAACATTTAGGCAAAATCCTGAACAATCTAATGTGGGAAGATTCATAATTAATGCCTTCAGAACAGTTGCTGAATAATACACGTGATTTGGTTAAACTTAAACGGCCAAAGAGTTTCTTCTAATTGCACAAGCTGCCCATATAAATAATTTCCAGCAATAATTATTACTCGGCATAATCAAGATCTCATATAATAGATGTTTGGATCGTGACTGCAGGATTTTACAACTTAAAATACAAATAGCAATGAATTTACTAGCACCTTATGGTTAAATGTTAAGAACGAGTTACGAGGCATGTCTGGGTTGGTTGCCTGAGATTTACCAATTAAAAAAACGCGAAATAATTAAGTAATAACTGCGGTAATTCAACGGGAGAAAGTAATTATTGTTTAATAGAAACGCTTTGAATTGTCCGGAAGATTTCCTTTATTAACTCTCAATTTTATCTTTTATGCAGCCACTTTTCGCCGTTCCGATGCCGCTCAATTTCCCAAAAGGCCCTTTTATCAATTCATGCAATTTGTCAACTTCAACCCGTTGTATTTAAATGGGGTTTAATTTTTAGCCGTCACTTGAAACTGCAGAATTTTTTCGCGTCGGAATCTAGTAATTACTCACCATCTTCTTTGCAACTTATCTCTGCAGAAAAAAATGGGAAGAAAAAGTGAATTAAGTGAAGGGAAATAAGGAAGAGTTCACAGTGCGGTTATTAATTAATCCCAATCTTGAAGCGGGTTTAAGTTGGCTAATGCGAGAATGAAAGTGGATTCTTCCTGCAAGACTTCGGTTCGGTTGTAAAAGTTAAGAGAGTCCCTATTTTTTGAACATAATATGTTTTCGCTTTTTCTCGTGGTCTTATTGGACGGTATTTTAGGCGGAAGCAGCAGCAGTTTCTTTCTCTAATTTGTTAGTTTTAAGTCAAGTTTTTTTGGTGTTAATTGAGGTTTTCTTGAACAATTATTTGGCATTTTTTGGAAACTTAATTTGAACACTTGTTTGGCAATGGCTGTGAAAGTTAACTCTTTTTGTTTAGTTTTTTTTCGTAAAATTAAACACAGATAGAAATTGAGTGCTGAAACTTGAGCGTTGATTCTGTAATTTTTTCAATTCGTTCTAGTCATTATTTGTGTTTTAGTTAATACGTTTATAAATGAAGGGACATATTCAAAATTAAAAACAAACGGTTTTCTGTTGGTCGACAGCAGAAAATGTTGCCAAAAGCTTTTTAATAAAAATGTATTTTTTTTGTTAAAGTGAAAGCATTTCCTTTTTCAACTTAAGCCAACTTTCCTTTTATTATTTGCCCATTTTAATTAAGTCATCTGTATTTTCTTTTGACTGGGTTATGCTACAATGCTGCTGCTGCCGCTTGCAACACTCGGTCCGTATCCTGCTAATTGTGCTATGATTTTATTGAAATTGACAAACCGATGGCAATTTGTTAGAGTTGCAATAATTCAGCAAATATCATTTTTCATTCGTCAATTACGTTGACGTAGATTGCAATATTTAGCCGTTTAAAAATTACCATTCGGTGTTTCTGCAGGCTTGGCCTGCCGCCGATTTGATCTATCATTTCGAAACTTTGGGTCACGATCTTGCAATTTCAATCGCCAATATTCGAACGATTTGCTACAGGCTGTGAACTATGTTCTAGTTAGCTTGCAAATTAAGAAATAGACATATCTTGAATGCGACGTTAAATTAGAGAGTCACGCTCGTATGACTGTTTAGG